AATAAAAAATAATAATAATACTTAATTAATTCTTTATATATTAGTTAAAGTATTTAAGTACTTAAAATTATTTTATTATTAATCTAGCTATTTTAAGTTATTATAATAGCCTAATTACTTAAAAAGTTATTTTTTTAATATTAGCTAGTAAGATAATATTATTATAATTATAATAAATAGTATAATTATCTAGCTTTTATATTAATTACCTAAATAATTATAATTTATTTTAGTTTTTAAGCTAATTAATTTTAAATTTTTATATCTATTTACATTTATAATAACTATTCTACTTATAATAATATTTATTATAAAGCTAGTCTTATTAAAATTATAAATATTAATTAAGTTAATATTATATTTTATAATTATATTCTCTATAAGCTGAAATTAATTACAAATAATAATTAGATTTTTATATTTAGCTCTTTAATAATTATATTTATAAAAAAAATATTCTAAGCTCTAATTATTATTTAATAAAATTTAAAGTTTAGTACTAGCTAATAAATAATATATTACAGTTAGTAAGTAGTTAATTAGCTATTTCTTTAATATTATATAATTATAGGGGAAATTCTTATAAATCTAAATTAAGAATAAATTAAATAATAATTTATTCCTCTAAATTAAATAAGTAATATAATTTCAAAATCTAATTATATTAAGATTAAATATTATTTTATTAGTAATAAAGCTATTAATTTTTAATATTATAGATATTAGTAATATATTAGATATTTAATTTTAAGTTATTTTAAAAAGCTTAAAAAATAAGAAGGATTTTACTTTAATATTTAATTATAATATATTAAGTAATTAAAAAAAAAATATTTAAATAAAAAGATAAGAGTTTTTAAGAAAAATATATTATATACTTAGATATATTAATATACTTAATAAGTATACATTATATCTAAGTATATATCGCACTTTTCCTAACCTTTAATATAAGAACTTAAATAAAAATATAATAAAGTATTTAATTAATTAAAACTAATTGCTATACTCTTCCTCAAATATCTTAATAATAATTTAATAGGTTCTTATATTATAACTAATCTTTCTATAAGTTCTATAATATCTTTCCTTCAGTTATACCAACTCTTCTTAACAACTACTTTTCGACAATTCAGCCTATATCCGTATATTTATATCCATTTAATTAATTACTTCCCTTTCCTCCTCTATAGTTATCTTCCCTTTATTCTATAGGCGGGTTCTTTTTACTTTATGCTGCTTATTAAGAGTCTTATTTGCCTGTTAAAGAATCTAGACCTCAGACTTTAATAATACTATTTAATATATTATTGCCTTTATTCCTTTAGAAAATAACTTAAGTACCTTAAGGATAGATACTAGAGAGCTGCTCTAATATCTTCTTATTTGTCTTTTAAGGTATTTAGACTGTAAACTGGCCTTAAGTACTATCTTTAGGGTCTTTAAAATCTAAGAATTAGAAAGGCCAGCCTCCTCTACAGCTGGTATTAGAGTCTGTAGCTATATATTAAGCTTTAATATAATATTTTCTGGGTTTAAGGGAATAAGTCTAGCTTCTTAAAAACCTCTCTTAATATTACTTTTTATTATAGTAGCTATATAGGTAATATAGAAGGCTGGAAAGAACTTAATCTTTATAATATAGATTATAGAGTATTTAATTAATTATTTAATTTTTTAATTATAGGCTATTTTAAGTAATTTAAAATATTTAATATTAAGAGGCTAGAGTAAATAAGATAAATAAGATAGTATATAAAATATAATAATATTATTCTCTTTATAATATTTCTTAAAGTTAATAAAATAGTAATTTTTATATCTATTAAGAATTAAAAGATAATAGTAATTAGTTAATTAATTTTTTATATATTAATTAAAATATTTAAGCTACTTAAAACCTATTTTATTATTAATCTAGCTATTTTAAGTTATTATAATAGTCTAATTATTTAAGAAGTTACTTTTTTAATACTAGCTAGTAAGATAATATTAGCTTGTAATTATAATAAATAGCTAGATTATCTAGCTTTTTATATTAATTATCTAAATAACTATAACCTATTTTTAGGTTTTAGGCTAGATTAATTTCAAGTTTTTATATTTATTTATACCTATAATAACTATTTTACTTATAATTATACCTATTATAAAGCTAATCTTATTAAAGTTATAGATATTAACTAAATTAATATTATATTTTATAATTATATTTTTTATAAACTTAAACTAAATATAAATAATTATTAAATCTTTATATTTAGCCCTCTAATAATTATATTTATAAAAAAAACATATCTTAAAATCTAGTTATTACCTAATAAAATTAAAAGCCCAGCACTTACTAATAGGTAATATATTGCAGTTAATAAGCAGTTAGTTAGCTATTTCTTTAATATTATACAGTTATAGGGGAAATTCTTACAAATCCAGGTTATCACAGCCCAGGATGAAACCAGGCAGTCACAACCAGCAGAACCATAACATACCCACTTTATCACCTAACACAAATCCCAAACTCACCCCGTATAAGTGAGCCCAAACGCACAACTCACTTCCCCAGGATGAGCCACAAGATCGGACTCACTCTCACTCAGTGAGCCCGCATAGGCACCACTAGTATATAGACGCTCCTTTAGCACTTTCATAGACAGATAGCCTCACCAGCTATCAACATACTTGGTTACATTGAATCTACTATTCTACCATTACCAGACCGTGACCTACATTGCTCACTACGACGTCCTGATCCACTCGATCATACACCCCACGCCTCGGACCTACCCTATACCCTTAGGTTAGACCCGACCGTCACACAGGTCGAGAATAAACTAAACAATAATCTACTCCTCTAGATTAGATAGTCGATACAATGGCGGGATATAATTGCATCGAGATTAAATCCCATTCTGCCGGCGATATAGCCTATGCTTATTGACCTTATAGATACTTGCAGTATATCGGATATTTAGTTTTAGGTTATTTTAAAGGGCTTGAAGTATAAGAAGAGTTTTTGCCTTGGTATTTAATTGTAATATACTTAGTAGTTGAGATTTAATTAATAAAGTAAAAAGTTAGATATAAGAGGGAAAAGTGTAACGTATATTTAGATGCAATGTATACTTATTAAGTATGTTATATACTTATTATATATATTATTTACTATTAGTACTAGTTAATATTATTTAATAGCTTAATATAATAAAAAAATCTTATTTTAAAATTAAGTTATTATAATCTTTAATAATAGCTAGAAAATAAATAAAAAAAGCCTAGAATAAATTTAATACTTTAATAAGTATTTAAAAATATATTCTTTTAGCTTTTATTATCTTTTTATATTAAATAAATATAAAAGCTACTATTTAATTAAATTTAAGCTATTTTATAAAAACAATAAGATTATTACTCTCTATATATTATTATATTTATCTTATATTCTTTAGCTACTTAATATTAGCTACTTAATATTAGCTATTTTAAGCTACTTAAATAAACCTATAATTAATAAATTAAGAATATAATAAAAACTTAAATTACCTATATTATTAAAATTAACTTCTTTTTTATATTTTAAGCTATATTTTAAAATATAATATGAAAAAAGAATATTTAAAAAGATTTTTAAAATATAAAATTTATTTTTTATAATTTAGAAAATATACTTTCTTAATTAGATATTAAATTATAAATTTTATTACTTATAAAAGAAAATTCTAAATTACCTATTATCTAGATTTTAAAAACTTTAAATAATCTAATTAAAGTTACTTTATAAATTAATTTTATTAAAAGTTAAATTAATTATTATTAAAAAAGCTCTTTAATATTAATTTTAGCTATTATAAATTAATTTATAAAAAATATATAAAAAATAATATACTAAATAGCATTATTAAAAGCAGAGGTTAATAAGCTTTAGAAGGTAAATACAATACTTAGCCGGCAGCATAGGGTAAAAAAAACACATCTCTGGCTTTTAGAGAGTATAACAGTAGCCAAGAGGCAGGAGCTATAAGATCAGAGGGAAATTACTAATTAGATATAGCAGGAAACACAGCAAAATAGTAATTGGAAGAGGCAGATAGAGACGAGGGAACAGCAATATAGAAGATACAGGCAACCCGGGTATAATATGCGTACTTGTAAAACTAATATAGATATATCTAAAGAAGAGGATAGTAATTGATTTTAATTAATTTTAGGCATTATAGTTATTTTATTTTGATATTTAGTAGTGAAGGTATAGTTAGACAAGCTACTTACTTATTTAAGCTACTTGCTTATTATATACGTTAAAGTAAGACTATTTATAAAGTATAAAAATCACATAATCGTTCCCTTATAAATATATAGCACTTGTATTATTAGATATTAGTTAGTTATCTTCTTCCCGGATATCAGATAAAATAACTAGAATAAATACAGAGTGAGCATGCAACTAGCAGCATGCTTTTTTTTTAATAGTTTTTATGTTTTATTGCCGAAATTGGGGTTTTTTTTTAATCTGTGAGTATTATTACAAAAAAAAAAGGAAAAGAAAATATCATATTTCGAGGTCATCCTAAGACGCATAATAACCTTATTTCCAGCTTTCCTAGATAACGCGACTTTCCTTTCTTTCTCAGACCACATCGCCGGCCCTGTAATTACAATTCCAATCCCCGGGACCCACAGGGCCCCGGCCCCTGTGCGGCGGCGACGGACTGCCGCCTCCGGCAGCAGCCGTCTTCATCATATATAAAAGACGGGCTCTAGGCCCATCCCTTAACTAGAAATCAAGAGCTTTCATCATTATTATTATGATCCTATCTATTCAGTGTAATAGAAAAGTGTGGAAATTGGTATTAGCGAAGCAGTCTTGACAGGGTATCTCGGTATCCTGTGAAGAAATGTAGAACCATCCTTCCATTCCCAACTATTTCATGCGTGTAGTGTTGTCTCGATTTTCGAAGTTGATTTGTCTTTAAGGTCGTAGCAGATTAACTACCGCAAGCCATTTAGGCGGCGGCAGTAGCGGCAGGGGTCGAGGAAGCCACGTTGTCGGGCTTGTTCTCGGCCTCGGGCTCAGCCTGCTTGGGGGTCTTCTCGGTGGCGGGAGCAGGGGCGGACTCCTCAGCCTTGGCCTCCTCCTTGGGGGTCTCGGCGGCCTTCTCCTCCTTGGGAGGAGCAGGCTTGAAGCTCTCAATGGTCTTCTTGTAAGCCCCAGACTCGGTGACGGTGGCAGAGAGCTCCTTGGCCTCGGCGATCTTGAGCTTCAGCTGGGCGACTCAGTTGCCACGCTTAGCAGTGTTGGCGGCCTTGAAGCTGTGCTTGTTGCCCTTGGAGGTGAATGATGGTAAGGCATACTCTCTACTCCATATCTTCCTCGACATTCCCTTACTAGTGAAGCCTGCCCAACATGCAGTTCAAACCAACACCCACCCTGGCGACACACAACACAACCACTATGCAAGGTAAAAGGGGCTTTGACTCCGGCCTTTCAGGGATCATGCTATAATGGAGACGAGACTTTCATAGAAGCCATCCCTGAAGTTCCCATATGCAGGAGCTGCCCCTTTCCCCTCCGCATGCTCTTACCCGTAGTGGCCGCTCTCCAATGTCTCAGCCAGCAGACACCATGGCACTACCTCGGAGGAGTGTTCCATAACGATATTAGCGGCCATGTGTGACTGACAGGTCATCATGCAGGACCTTGCTGAAGGATTTTGGATCCGCTGAGGTCTGAGTTCTGCCTGACTGTCCGAATGCTCCCCGAAACTATACGAGAGTTCTCTTGGCTTGAATCTGCTTCGTCAGCGGCAAAAACTCTCTTTGTAATCCCGAAAGGGGGAAACACTTCCAGGAGTTTCAGATCCTCGGTACTATATATAGTCATCACTGCTCAATGACACGGATACAAGGAAATCGATCATTCTTTTGAACCGACTGCTGCCTTCCGCAGCCGTGTCGTGACTTTTGGTAGTGTACAAGTTCGATGCCTTTTTGAGGGACCATTCCCTCCCCTCATGACAATACTCTTTCTCTCGCCGCAAACAGCTTTGATGTGCCAGGTTTGTTCCATAATTCCTCGTTCGGTTTTGGTCCCTTATGAAGCTTCCTTCCCGAAAGGGGTTCTGTTCACGCAATCCCTTCTCCAGTTTGATCCGCCCCGGCCGATGAGCATCACGGCGTGCCTTCCCATGAGGCACTTTTCGGTTGAATAAAGAATAGTGTTTTTGCTTGTTATGCATTACTTTTAATTATCGCTCCGTGAAACCAGGCCCAGTCTTGACGCCGTCGATATAAGCCATGTGCATGACGTGCTTGTGGTCTTCCTTGCTCCAGCTCTGGCGGCGCTCAAAGACGGGCGTCCAGCTGTTTGTGCGGCGCATGGCGCGGGCGGCGTAGGCTTCGACGTGGGCGCTCATGCGGCGAGGGCGGTCTGATGCAATAGTTAGCTGACGGTATAGAGATGAGATGGAAGATGGGATGCGGACCTTTGGTGCCGAGAGGATCAAAGGGAATTTCGGGTTCGGAGGAGCATTCGTAGGAGGGAGGTTCTTCGGTGGTGGGCTCGTTTGTGATTTCGCCCTTGATTACTTTGTTCGTCATTGCCGATGTGATGATGAGTGTGTTAATTGGTTGATGATAGTGTGTATGTGTATGTTGTAGGTTTAGAGATGAGCTGTCTTGTTCTGTCAGTATCTCGTATTCAGCAGAAAGCAATCTCGACTTACTTGAGCGACGTCAATGGTTGTAAATGACAGCTTCCCTCTTCTGTACAAGGATCCTATATACAATGCTACGATATTCCCCCCTCCATCATGATATTGTACATTAGCAAAAGCACATGCTTGCCATCATTCCCGCTGCAAGTCTCAACTCTGAGTCACCCGACGCGCCCAATTACAGGCCCTACAACCACTTTCGCCACCTTGACCGCTGATGTGCAAACGATTATACTGGTTGAGCCAGGGGGGAGAGAAAAGCAACAGCTCCCCCGGAACCTTCCTTTTTACAGAGAGAGTACATGGCTTTATGCAGCGAGTCTCCTGTTCTTAGCCGTACATTTAAATGGCATGTTCTGGTTTAATCTATGAGAACTTAAAATTGTGCCACACCTCCGTGCGTGCTGTTGGGAGGAGTTGCGTGACGCAAGCGTCATAAGCGGGGGCTGCACGGCGGCGTCTTGCTAGTGCTATTGGATGGCAGAAACCATGTGAGCCAATGGCTTGCTTCTTGGAGGAGGTCGCCGAGCATCGGAAAGGAATGGCATGCATACGGGAGCATCGTGATCAATGTCGTGGGAGCATATCGGTCGGCACTTTACATCCGAGGGTTTCCTTCTTTCATCTTTAATAGTGCAAGATACCAATTGATTGATCAACAGGATTGATTCTATTGACTCCTCTCGACTCCTATATATGATCGCCTGCTGAAAACAGGAAGACCCAGCCTTTGCATCGCCATGAATATGCTCGCCTTTTGGAAAAGGAAAAACACTGCCATTCTAGTGGACAGTCCCAAATGCCACGCTTCACTCAGTCATCCCGCTACTTGACTCTGAGTGGGCGAAAACAGAAAAAGACTCTGGATACGCCCCAACCCCGCCGAATTGAAGAAAAACGAGAAATGAAAATGCGAGAAATCAAATAAATAACGGGCAAAAAAATGACACAAGACACCTCTGGCTATGCAGGGCATTCGTAGGAGAGGGGTTCTTCGGTGGTGGGCTAGTTTGCGATTTCACCCTTGATTACTTTGTCCATTGTGATCGGCTACCGAGGACGTATTGGCATTCTTGTGGCTAATAATGTTAGTACCAGCGAGAAAGACTAGCCCTGCCACAGCGAAGATGCACGCCAAAGTGTACGGAGAGATTGACCGTTGGCGAGCAGGGCGGACAAGTGGGAGAGGGCAAGCGACGGAAAGCGAGAGGCTAGAGTTACACACTCGAATCAAATAATGATGCTTATTGCGGGGAATGGAATATAAGCCCCTCAGATATTATATACCAATAGCCGGATAGCTAATAGGCGTATACTGACGGCGAGGTTTGCCTTGGAGTAAGGGTTATTCTGCCCTGAGCAACTAGGTGCAGTTTCCAGCTTTCTGGTTTTATTAGCGAAAAAGGACCGCAAGATCACTTGGGATGCCCTCAAACGCGAGTCGAGTAGTCCGGTAAGCACCCGTACCTTGCGTCGGGCTGTACACCGGCATTGGGCACGCAAATGGAGGTCTCTCAAGAGGCCGGGTATCACAAAAGGAGTAGCCAAAGCCAGGCGTCAATTTGCGTGTACTTGGTTGCCAAGGGTGCACGAATTGGTGGAGATATGCTGTATTGAAGTTACACCCTGAGACAAGCTTACACTCATCTAGATCATGTTTTCCGACGAGACTTCCGTGCAATCTAAATCAAGCAACCCCAATGAAAGGGTTCGGATATTACTGGGCTGGCTGGTCGGCGGTGTTCGCGCGATATCCGCGTACGATGCCTGCGGGCTGGCCTGCCCCATGTTGGTCTTGATGGTTTCCAGTTGCTCGCGAGCTTGTTTCAGCTCCTCCCTAGTGTCTCGGACTTCTCGTTGTGTCTCTTCGATCTGCTGGTGCAGGTGCCGGATTAAGTCTTGCTGCTTGTTGATCGTGATACTTTGTTCGAGGACAGCATCCTTTAGACTCTTCATCTCGCTGTTGGATCTGTCCAACAACTCCAGAACCCTCTGGAGCATCGCGTTTCCTGTTTCGCCATGGCCGCGGCCTTTCCTGCCCTCCTCCGCCCGTTCGGTTTCCGTTTCTGCAGGCGAAGTCCGTGCATCATTGTTGACGGTTCTTCTTGAGGCTGCAGTAGTGTTTTCGAAAGACCGAAGCGTATCTCGGACCTTCGTGCTGGGCTTCATGGTGCGGCTCAAGGGGCTGTTTTGCCCCACCACAATCGCGGCCACCACCCATCCCGGAGACTCCCCCACACACCTTAGATTGAAAACTAAGGAAAACAGCAGAGTGTACTTTCCTCTCGGACGAAATCTCCGTAGCAGACAACGGTCTCGGTTCCACGGACGAAAAGTGTGTATTACGACGCATTGCGTGGGAAATTGGGCGGACATCACGCGTGCACGGGGCCAATTTGTAGGTATTACGTCGTAATGCTCGCAGCAATCATTGGAGTAGGGATACATGCTTCGATAGTCCGTCTTGCATTATTAATAATAGTCTAGTTACATTGATTCATCATGACAACCTTTGTCCAGGCCCGATTTTGTCCTTTATCGTGTACTCTCACCAGAGATGTGCACTTCAAAAGCAACTATCTTGCTGATGCCAATCCGGTGGGGATCCATATCGTCCATATCGATGTCCGAGGAGTGGGTCGGGTGGCCTTTGCCATCGATGATGTGCTCTTGTGAGCTTGCTCGATCTCGGCTCCTTTTACCTCCTTGCACCTCCACGACGTGTTCTTGATTCGTGGTGAGAACTAGATCGTCTCTACCACTCATGAACTTCTGACGAGGGTAGCTTCTAGGGAGTCCTCGGCTGTGGGAGGATGACCCGTACACCTGGTTCGAAAAGACGAGTTTGGAAGCGAGAATGTCAATTCTGTGGGTTTGTTAGCGGTTGAAGTGGCTGAGAAATAAGTCCAACTCACATCATGATGATAGGAAACATGCATTCCATCGTGTAGGCAAACCGATCGACCTGAGTAGCCACATTCGTGGCACTCTGTGTAGCTGTTTGGAAAGAATATGTGATGGCTCGCATCACACCAAGGACTGCAAGAAGTGCAAGGCGGACCTCAGTGCTTCGGATTAGATAGCGGAATAATCCGGTCTGAAGGGCAGCCTTCAGTGACGTAGACTTAGCCGACCCAAAGACTCTGAGAAGGAAAAAGGCACTGAGGCACTCCAACATGGCTATTGACACAAAGTAGCCGATATGGAGGTGGTTGATGGTTATCTGCTCCCCCGTGGTCTCGTTCAAGATCCGTCTAGCTCTGACAGCCATAATACCCACGCGAAGGGCAGTAATCAGTATGATCATGAGCCAAAACAGACTGGCAAAGATATACCATTGTCGATTGCGCAGGACACGGCTCAGGATGATGTAACTGTAGAACGACAGCCCGGCTTCTTGGATCTGTACATGAAGTCAAGAGTCAGTTTACAGTACTCCGTCGTGCGGAGATTGTTGGCAGAGATTTGGCCAACTTACCAGCCACATTAAATCTGCAAAGATCGAGGCCACAGCCTGGCCCGTGATAGGGTTTGTTTCGTCGTAGAATGCATAGTAGCAAAGTCCGTTGGCTATCGCGCCCGCTGCAGAGGTAACGATCGGGACGATGGCAACCGGGGAGAGGCTGGTTATGCCAGCAACAAGAACACCGAAAATAACATTAGCGATTCCGATGGTGCTGAGAATAGACCAGCTCAGCTCGAAGTATACTGGCACGGTCGCGGTGGTCGACATGAGGATCGTCGGGTGTGCGGAGGTTTGTGGCTGAGTTGTGGATCGTCGGGAACAGACCACACGGCGTCCAAGCTTATTATACCAAATTGAAAACGCCTTGTGGAGCACACCTGGAGCCCCCAGGACCCCAAGTAAAGGCACAGCAGACGAGATTATCACGCCAACAAATCACCCGTTGTTAATCCCCCAAGTGCGGAGCCCTAGTCGCCACTTAGCATTGGAACCAGAGGTATTGACACACTGTAACCTGTTCGCAGCGACTTGTGGCGGCTCTAACATCAGAACTGGACGTGGCGCTGATCATGGTGCGGTTAACAGGTGCGCTAGAGCAGGGGAGGGGTCTCAGTGACCGAGCGAATAGAGCACGGGATCCGAATGGTCTGCTTGGTCCCCAGAAAGAGTCGAGCATCGTCACCTGCTTTAATATCCTGATGTTCTTACTAAATAAGAGAAATTACTTTCGCCTCCATGTCTGGACGGTTCTCTCCGTTACGCCAGTTCTCTCCTTTGTGGACAATGTCTGCATCCTCCTGATTCCATGACGGTTGAGTGCACCAGCCGTTTCAACACTTACTCTTTTTGTAGGGCCTTCGGGTAGGGCCTGAACAAAGCTCAAAGGACAGGGAGGTCTCGGCGTTCCGGAAGTCGGCTAACGTCAGTAGCTTTCATTGGGATGCTAGCCGAAGGCCACCCTTTAACTGTCACAGCCATCAAACCTTGTGCCTCCAAAGTTTCGGCAAATTCCGAATAAGTGTCGCGGAGTTCGCCATGAAGGCTCACCATTCGAGGTTGCTCGAAAGCATTAGGATTATATAGATATCTATATCTGGATCAAGTCATTAGCGATATTTCAGGCCGGCGATTATCTGTATGATCTGCGAAATAGGCGAAGAATTAGAGATGATACCCTGATTGCGTCATGTCGCATTGCCGACTACGGCAAAAGGGAATGATCACTCCGCTAATGCGTAGTGTTAGCTTATACTGAATGTGACACGTGAACTAAAGCTCCGGATTTGAGATTTTTCTTGCACGGTTCCGTAGCCCCGCAAACGGGCCAATCAGAAGTGTCCCCGGCTGTCACGACCCATGCACAGCCTGACACAGGCAGGGTCAACCCTGGCAGAACACGAGGAGACCCACAATTCTTGACCAATCTACGAAGGAGCGACACTTACAGGAGCGACCCTCCAGGACTCCTGAAAACCATCACTTGGCCAAAGATAGATCTTAGCTACCTCAGCTATCAATACAACTTGGTTACATCAAACACCCGTTTAACATATTACCAGACGTGAACTACTCTTGCTTAGTATAGCGCCCTGATCTTACTGCCAACATAAACCAATCACGGCCCGGTCTACTACGTTGGAAACCTCACCGTCACATAGACAGCGAAAATAATAATTGTTAGGGTCCCACATATGGACCAACTGGTAACCCTCTGTCGGAAATTTTGAGCTAATCAGCGACCCGGCCCAGCAGCAACCGATTCTGCAACAACGCACGGACCAGATTCGCCAAATCGTATGGGGGGTTTCTGGCAAACCCATCGACCAACTGCAGGTCCGGATCCCGCAACGACCCATCCTGGCGTAGCGGTGCGTTGGATGGAACGGCTCTCCTGAGCGAGGCCAGAATCCACACAGCACCCCCGTGCTGGCCACACACCCCTTATCTATCTAGGCAGTCCGCATCTAACATAGATATCCTGGCTATATATTTTCCTAGCTATATAATCCTAACTATATTTGCTTCTGATTATATATTTAGATGCCTTAATCTTAGCCTCCTTAGCTATATCTAGAGCTATAGGATAAGTTTCTATTTTATCTATATCTAAAGATATCTAAATTGTTAGATTATTATAAAAAAGCTATATAATAATTATAGAGTTATAAAAGAATTCTTTAGATAGAAAGTCTAGCTTAATATAAGTATTATTAATAGCCTGCTAAATAAGATTAAGTTATAAGTATAATTTAGTAAGTTTTAAATTTTATAGTAAAATATAAATAAATTTAAAGCTATTTTTAAACATAAAAAGTAAATAGTAATAAGCTTAATTTAAATAATATTAGTAGTAATTTAAAAAGAAATATATTAATATTTCTAATAATACTAATTAAATTATATTAATAGATTTAAAGCTTATATTATAAGTTTTATAAGTAGAAATAATAGTAATATTATATTTTTTATTTAATTTAAATTTTACTAAATAATAACTATAATTTTTTTTTTAATATATAATAAATTAATTTAGAGAAATTAAAATAGCTATCATAGGCTGAGAGCCTGGGGTAGTGGACCCAGCGGTGCCGGGTCCTGGGTCCAGCAGATAGGTGCAGCTAGATGACTTAACCCGCGGTTAAGTCATTACTTTCCCTTTTGCCTTAGCGGCGAAGGGAACTGCTGCCCTGCAGGAAGGTCGCTACGCTAGCTGCTGTAGGAGCTCCCGCAGGGGGCCAATCTCTTATAATAGCTAATAAATATATATTTTTATAAAAGATTTTAAATATATTTAAAATAGTTTTAAAAATTAATCTCTTATTTAATATCTTTAAAATATTCTTATAGAATTTCTTAAATTTATTTAAAATCTTATAATAATATTCTTAAATAGTAGTTAAATATATCTTACTATTTAATTCTAATTTCTTAATTAAAAAGATAATCTATAAACTTCTATAGTAGGTACTAATTATATTCTAATATATAATACTAAGAAGATTCTACTTCTTAAAACTAAACTTACTACTAACTTTTATAATCTTATTTATATAAGTAACTATCTTATTATAATATCCAGTCTGCTTATAGAGGTAAGTAAAAAAGACTTACCTATAGCTTTAAAATCAGTCTTAAGATTCTAGTATAGTTACCGATATTAGTTTTATAAATAAACTTCTTACGCTAAGTAGAGATATAAAGTCAGCCAAACAAGCCAGTACCAATTAAAAGCAACCTAGAGAGGGGGAAGAGTAGCAAGACTCCGCTGAGAAATCTAGAAAAGGTGAATAGTGGGACTGTTATGAGATGCAACTTGCATGGCCATTATCGGAGAGTGGGAAAAAGCAAGACAGGCAATAACACAAAGCGATGGCAGAGAGGAAGAGCGCCAACTAATCCTTTAAATATTAAGAGCTCAATTCAACGAAGAGCATCGGCCAGCGTCGCCGACTCCCCTGCGCGAAACCGTGCCGGATCGCTGTGATGAGTCGACGAAGTCTTTTCTGTACTGAAGACAACCAAAAGCGTCTTAGCTCGCTCAAAGCTTAACCTTGCTGCTGGTCGCCGTCCGGGCGTTTACGAATAAGATTGTGACGACCGCTCAAGATGATCATGATATTGCATGGACCCAGCCCCATAGCGCTCCCAATGCTATGTCTCTTTCGGTATGGTGCAACAGAAAACTTGGTTGGAGACCCATGGCTAAAACTTTTTCCGGGCTCTGCCTTTGCTGGGACTAATGTTTGGTTCTGCATTTTGTGATTCTGAACGTTCTCTTGCTGGAGGTGGCCGGAATTTGAGTTTGACCATGACTCCTAAGTCACCAATCTGGATGGCCGAACGAGAAAGGATAATACTTCCCAACCTCCTTTACGCCTTAAAATATCACGGGACGGTTTAGGATGAGCCTATTTTGTTCATAGTGGCGTGATGCTGATGCCCAATCCCTACGACGATCTAGAACTTCGGGTTCGGAGGGGGGAAGTCTCGGTATGTGGGTGGGCTAATCAGCTACACAATGGCCTTCTCTGAACTGTGAACAGGAGCGACTTCAAGTGGCAAGAATAGAAGATGCAACTGATGGTACTGGAACAAGGAGTGCAAGATGAGGCTCCGATGGCTCGGCAGAAAAGGGAGGATGCTGCCGATAGTTCGAGTTAATGCCGCGTGGATAAAGCAGCAAGAAGCAAGTGAATATAAAGAGTCGAATATCGGTACTCGGTACTAATAGTGAAGTAGCGGAATCAATATAGTTTTCCGAAACGTCATCATCTCGTTCTCCGCCAATGCCATCACGAATCCTGGATGTTTCTCAAGTTCTGCTGGTACAGGTGGCGTGATCCTTCACCAGCTGTTTTAAGCCACCGTCGCCTCACTTGGAGACGGGATTTCAGGAGGCTGGCAATATGACGTGACGGTGGGGCGTAACCTGCGCATCCGTGCCTCTGGGATAAGACTGAAGAGAATTTGAACCGTTTGAGGATTGGCCTACCCGACTGTCTTCACTAGCGTTGTCTGTACATTGATGAGCGGCTTCGGTGGAATAGACTTTTTCCGTAGAGTAATACATGCTAGTGTCCGCTGGCAACTATGGGTACAGTAGAATGGCGAGAATGTTAATTCGAGAGGTCTGAAAATTTGACGTCACCATACCGGTATCATGAACCGATTTGATATTCTCTCCCTCCTGCTCCTCGCTGGATACCAAAATAAGCCCTGCAAACTGACGACACTGAGGTACAGGCCGATGGGCCCCACAATCTTGATACACAAGCGCCTGATGCAGACGCGTAGTCATTGACTTGGGAAGCGATCACGAGCTGGACCGTGGTTGCCTGGCTCAAACCTAACCGCACGGCGACGGTAGCATGGCCATACTACCAGCGGCTTTGCGATTAGGGTTTGAGCGGTGCGGCTTTCGTCCAGCACGCCGCCTTTTCCCAGGTCGCTTGTAGATCTTCGAGCTTATTTGGGCTTTTTGGGCTTGTCAACGAATCTCGAGGGCCATGGAATGTCATTGTTGACTTCGCTTTTTGTCAAACAAGACGAAGTCTAGCTAGAAGATTCCCCATCTCGTCGTCCAGTGTAACTTGTCGCTGATCTTCACCCAGGTCTACAGCGTAAAAGTCGCATATGCCCAATTTGCACACATAATGCAAACCACCAGGATTGCCACTTTCTCGACCTGCCACTTGGGCTTTGCTGGAGACACCACAGCCACATGGTGGGTTATTAGGGTTGTTGCCTCTATCATCTGCAAAGCCAAGGAACTTTTTGTAAACTATGCACTTATGGAACGGACGCCCTGCATTTCCGTTGCGATTTGACATGCGATTGATAAACCTCCTGCTGGGCATATGGCATCTGAAACAGTCCGGGGGCTCCACTGGTGCAGGAGCAAGAGGGAGGATAAAAGCGTCCAAAATTGGATGTGCCTGATACAATTAGCTAGACTAACCAAGAAAACAAGGTAATTAAACAACGCCTACTTACCGTCATATCTGTCATGTACCACAATTTTATGGGCTGTGTCATAGGGATAAAAGCTCTTAACTACCGTCCATTCAGTAAGTGATTAGAAGCTCTAATTGTATCCATATCCAATGATTTATTTGCTGACTGACCGACTCAGGGTCTGGCGGTTTCAGTTAGCTGAAGGCATAGTAACTGAATTTCTTCGCCTCATCGTAGGTTTCCGGCAGGTTGGATGTGACGGTATAGATTACGCCTTTTTAGTTGTCCATGATGTAAAATTCCGACGACCGACAATGACCCCAGGACAGTGCTCCTAATAGTGTAACCAGTCCGTGTGAAGGCCTCAAACTCGGAAGAGATGATACTGTGAACCGTCTCAACCGGTATATCGCCACCGTAACAGTAGAAACTAGTAGTACAATCGCCCCATCTTCCTCATTTGCCTCCTCTCTCCTCTGTTCCTGCCCGTCTTTCATCTCAGACCGGGTCCGGCCGGAAGATCCCTCAGCCGGCGGCTAACCTGCCGGGTGATCTTGGAAGTGCCGCGGTCATCGCATTGGACTGTTGTAATCCCTTTGATCCAGGCCCCTGTGACTTTGTTAACTAGCCTTTCTAGGGCTTGAGGCCCCGGATGACCAAGCCGCAGATGCCATCGGCGGGCATCCTGTTTAGTTGCCTTAGGTCGGGTTGATGAGTTGAACCGGCTGTGCCGGGCAGGGAAGGCAGCCTCCTGCTGATCAAGTGGAATGTCTTCAATGACGAATTGGTCATATCGATCAGCTAGATAACAAAGGATCAATCCAGCTGTTGCCCGAAGACAGTTGTTTTCTGGGCGTATGTCCCACCAATAGCCCTGCCGTTGCAGACGTCGTAGGGATACGAGGTTGCAAGGGAAGTCAGGGCAATATGCCACATCAAACAGAGGAATAGCCCTAGGGCCCTTAGTCCCTTTAGTCAGGATATCGACCTGACCGTAGCCTAGGACTAGGACTTCGTGTTCTCCGGCAATAAGGACGTCATCAGCCCCTGCAGGCTGATATCCTTTGAACCGGTTGATCTGGTTGAAGATGTGGATTGTGGCCCCGGAGTCTAGGATAGCTGACCTTCGTAGGGGGTACCGGGCAGCAGGAAAAGCGGCCTTGACTGCAGTTATCAGGTCAGAACAACGCCCTATATCCCGGCATAGTCAATCTGGCTCAGCCAGTCCGGCCGACCCCTTGAGGGCCTTGACTTTATCCTTCAAGTCTTGACAGGAAAGTCGGTATTTGACTGCATCCTTCATCACAGGATTGGGTTCAAACCAGTCAGGAGCCCTTGAAGGAAAGACATAAAAGCAGCTGGCCAAGCGGTGGAAGCCACCGCAGGCCTCGCAGCTAGATCTGCTATTTCCTTGATCCCGGGCTTCCTTAGACTTCGTCTTCTTTGACTGAGAGACCGGTTGGTGGGATTTGCGTTTCTTAGAGGTCCGTTTCGGCTGGGAGGGCCCGGCAGATCCAGAAGATCCAGCCGGCTGTTGACCTTCCTGATCGGGATCCTGTTCCTGATCCGGGTCCTGACCATAGGTCGGGCCAAAGGCCCCTCTTTTGACCCGGGCTGCGGGAGTCCTAGCTGGCTGCTGCAAGCCCTGCTCGATGAATTCCTCTCACAGGGACTTAGCGATCTCTCGGATGGATAGAGACCTCGATTCTAGCTCCTTCCGATAGATACCACGATAGGTAGAGACCCAGCTTCCCATAGCTGGCTGAATAGCTTTGCAGGGGTCACTAAACCAGACATTTGAATCCTCTAGGCCTCCTATCCCTTGTGCTTGGGCTTGATGTGTGGCTTGTTCCCAGTCTGTAAGCCAGCGAGGGAAGCTTAGCCTCTCCCTAGTATAAGAGAATATACCTTAGACTCTAAAGGTGTGTGAGACGCCTTTACTACCATACCATTATCTAGAGACTGCCGCGAGGCGGCTTTAGCTGTCTGGGTCTCCAAGGTCGAGAATGATTATTATATGGGACTATTCAATTAAAAGTAAGCTAGTAAAAGTATATATAAGTAACTAGAATATTATTACTAAAATCCCCTTATAATTAGATTAACCTTAAAAGAAGATTTAGATAGGCCCTCTATACCCTCTATTATTTTAAAGTAAGATTCTCTTATTTTTATAGACTTTTATTTTATATTCTTACTATTATCTTTCTTTTATTTAATATAATATACTATAATTTTTATACTTTTTATAATTCTATTATTTAAGCTTTATTTTTCTATCTTTTTATATTTAATATTATTATACTTACTGCTATAGATATAAACTTAATATATAATATTTCTACTAAATTTATTACTATTAAATATATTTATTTATATAGTTATTATAATATTAATTTTAAAATTTTAACTAAGTAAGCTAGAGGTATTATTATTATATAATATCTTAAAAAGGTAATTTAAAATATTAAATTCTAGCTTAAGCTTGATATTATAAATAAGAGTTATATAAATAGTCTAGAAGTTATAGAAGTTAGTATATTTAAGAATAAAAATTAAAATATTAAAAAGAATAATAATTATATTAACTAATAGTAAGTATTTATATATCTTATAAATTCTATTTCTATATAAAGTAACTTAGATATTAAAAAAGAAAAAATAAATCTTAATATAAATAGTTAAAATAATAAGTTTTTAAAGAAAAAATATAATAATTTATATTTTCTTATAGATTATATAAGAGTAAATATAGAAATTTAAATAAAGATTATTAAAACTATATATAAAAATAATAATAAAATTATATAAGATAATAGTATTAGTAATTATTATAATAAAAATAAGCTTTTAATAAAATAAATTCTAGAAAATAAAATAAAATTATAAATATAAAATAAGTAATTAGCTAGTAATTATTATTATCTAGCTAATTACTATAAAAATAATATATAATATAAAATTATCTAAAAGTAATATATTCTTAAATAAGAATTTAAATAAAATAAGATATAATTTTATTAATAATAATAAGAAAGTTTTAAAAATAACAGCTATTATATTTTTAAAAATTATAAAAATAAAAATATTAAGCTTAATAATATTATATATAAAAATACTTATAAAAGTAATAATAAAATTAGAAATTTAAAGCTTATAGCTAATTAAATTACTAGTTCTAGAGTTTTTTAAATATTTTATTATATTAAATAAATTATAATATAAATTTAATAGCTAATATAATATTAAATCTATACGAGTAGCTTTAGCTTTACTATTAGAAAATAATATAAATTTAAAAGCTTAGAAATATAATAAAGTCCTAAAGTATTAAGTATAAAATAAAGCTAGAATTAAAATAAGAATATATAATATTTTCTAATTTACTTAACTTATAATAAAAAAATAGAAGTAATAACTAAAATAAAATAATAGCTAGAATAAAATAATAACTAGAAATTAAAATAAAAGCTCTTATTTATACAATATAAATATTAAATCTAGAAATTATATAGCTATATTATAAATTGTAGCTTAATTATAGAAGTAATTAAGTTATAATATAATTAAGTTTGCTACTTATATAATAGCTCTAAATAAGTACTAGCAGTTTTATAATAAATTTAAGAATCTTTAAATAATCTAGTAGATATATATATATATTACTATTTATAAATTATATTAATATTAAAGAAACCTTTATTTATAAAGTATAATATTAATTCTAGTAAATATCTAATTTATTTAAGTTAAAGTAGTATTATATCCAGTTTTCTAGCTTAATAATATTATTACTTTATAAAAAAACTAAGCTATAATATTATAGACTAAGCCTAAAGTAAAGGTCTAAATATAAGCTTAGGCTAGAAGTATAATAACTTGGAAATACTACTAGTAAGCAGAGTTTTTACTGTAACTTCTTAATAAGATTTCTTTTCTTTTTTTTCCCTTTTTCTTTAATTTAAGATACTTCTAAATATAAGAATCCTATTATTAAATAAATTCAGAACTTGCCTCTTATATATAATAGTAATAATTTTAAGATATCTTATTAAATATTTCTATACTTATAATTTATAATTTTATAAATAATTTCTAGTTTATAATAACTTAAGATTATTTAAGATTTATTTGCTATATTTTAAACTTAATTTATACTTTTATTTTAATATTAAATTTATTCTAATTTCTTAAGTAATATACTAATAGCTAGCTAATAAAATCTAAAGTAATTACTACTTATTATTTTAAGAATTAGCTTTAAGTAGTTATATTTAAGTAAGTAGCTAGTTAGCTAATTCTTAGATATTAATATTTATATAATAATAATAATATAAATACTTAATATAATAAATATCTTTATAATTAATTAACTAGCTAATTATTTAATCTTCTCTTTTTAATATAACTAGCTATTGCAATATATAATAAAAAAACTCCCTACTTTATAAGTATCTTTTTTATAACTTAACTTTAATTTTATTACTGCTTTTAGTTAATATATATTAAACTTATACTTTATAATTAATAATTTAATATACAACCTAGATATTAATAAAGCATTTAGATTCTACTATTATACTATACTACTTATAAAAGATATTCTCTAGATTATACTTATACTTAAGCTTATACAGCCTTTAAATATAATTACTAAAAGTATCTTTAAGTAATAAAAACTTATATTCTAAGTTAAGATAAAATAGTATAGAATTACCTAGAGCTTACTTATTATAGTAACTATAAGTAGTAATAATATAATTAAATAACTTATACTTAAAAATATAAATTTTAATATTATAAGATATATTATTATATATAAGTTTTATAATAGCTAGATAGTACTTACTGTAATTAGTAAAAGTAGTTATCTTATATAGAGTAACTTAAATAGTAGTTATAAAAAAGAATTTAAAAATAAGAATTAATTTTATTATATTAT